AAGGCATCATAGAAATCATAATTGTCATATTTGATATCAAAATTATACTTGTTACCCTAAACATGACATTAGGAATCATAATAATAACCTAGACATGATTTCTATATCATAATAAAAATGTAAACAATTAAAGCACTTACTTGGATGCCTCGTATCTCTTTCTAATAACAAAATTCACACGTTAGTAACTACAAGGAAAATAATAAACAACAATTAAATTAAATAATTGAAATAAAGATTTGGGACCATACCCTCAGAAATTAAACCTTTCACGTCTAGGGCGAAGGCAACTTCGAATAAGGCTAGGTGTATCTAGGTCTTGCGAGTGCGGAATTTTGTATTTTGAGAAAAGGCTAGTTTAGAAATAAGAGAGAGAGAATCAAGAATTTCATGATGAGAGTTGGTCAATGAAAACAGAGTTTTTAGAAGGCTATTTATAGAGAAAATCAGCCAAAAAGATAAAAAATCGAAATAGAGTTCTGACGCGCAAAACGAGGTTAGCGCCAGATGCTGACATTAGCGCAAGGCGCCAAGCTTAGCGTCAGGCGCTAATGCTGGCGTTTGGCGCTAACTTAATTATTGACGCGTTTTCTAAAAATCAGATAGAAATTGACCGTACAGGAGGATAAAATCGTATTTTCCTCAAAAACATTCTTTTATTCTGATTAAAACTCTAAAAAGTCAACAAAAGTCAATTTATCAATGCCAATTGAATTAGGAATGAAAAGAACCTTCTAGAAGAATCTAGAAGACTAAAACCATTCCTAATTGCATTAGGAATGATAAATCCATATTAAGCCATCCTCTAGATCATTGGGCCGCATATAAGGCTTAAACTAGGCTTAGTTCAGTAATTTGGCCATAACTTCCTCAATATTCATCGAAATTGGGCTTATAATATATCGTTGGAAAGCTCTTTTCAAGCCCTATCCAGCTACACTACTATTAGACCATATCATGGACCAACCAAACTGGATTGGTTGTTTTCGTAAAATAGGTTTTCAAAAACAGAGAGAAGAGAAAAGAAATTAAAACTATCCGCAACACTAGACTTTCTACACTTTCACTTCATTCGATTACGATTCGACGTGTAAGGTACTCATCAGTAGGTTTGGTTTTGGGGAGACACAAATGGGTGTCTACACTTTGTCATCCCTAGATGGTTCTGTCTCGTGTTTGAGAATTATGAGTCAAGATTCAAGATTAGGTACGCAATAGTCAAGGATCCATGCCACTCATGTAAAATATGTAGAAGGCTTGAAAAATGATAAATCTCACATGGATGTAGCAAAAACTCACTATAGGTGTCAAATTAATCATAGGAAGCAACTACCAACATGCCACAAACAAGTAGAATCCAGTTTCATGCTCCTCCTAGTTCTAACACATGTTACCTTAGCATACATCTATCTTAGAGTCAACCAAGCATATTCTAAAACTATGCATACCCATACTATTTAGGAAGATATTCATTGAAAAGAAAAACTCGGTTGTAAATAGTCCAATTCAAAAGAAAAACAAAAAGTGTCAAATAAAGCCTCAAAACATACTAAAATCCAAACACAAAAGAAAGAAAAATAAAAGATAAGAAGGGAGAAAAAGAAAAACATAGATAAAGGAAAAGAAGGAAAATAAAGAATAGAACGAATATGCATGTTAAACATGTAATTCCCAATCAACAAACAAGTGATCAAATGACAACATCGCCAATGATCCCAAACACTCTAGGTGTTAAAAGCATCCATCCTCGAACCATTAAACTTTTCCTAAAACTAATCCTAAATTATGCATCCAAGAAAATAAAAGGGAAAAAAGAAAATTCAGAAAGATCTCAACAGGTATTCCAAGCAATGCGAAAGAGTAAGAAAGAAAGAAAACGCAAACCGTCAGGATACTCCAAGAGCAAATGCAAGGATAACATACCAAGAGAGAAAAATAAAGCTATATATAGAAAAAAAAATTGTTAATAACGTCCATACGAAATCAAACAGCATGATAGGTGGCAGAAATGATCAGAGAGGCAGAGACGGAGAATCATAGAGCAGAGAGTAAAATCAGCCATTTAGAGAGCAATCAATCACTGGGAAGACAAAAATCAAGAGCTAGATCATCAATATATCATCAGCAGTAGAAATCAACAGACAGATAACAAAACCAAGAAACATCAGCAGAATACTATCGCAGGGAACAGTCAGCAGCGTAAATCATCAGCTAAGAAAAACACCAAGTGTGAGATAAAGCCAAAGTGAACCATAAAAGCAAAGGGGGGACAAAAGAAGCGCAACAGACATAAGAATATTCCCCCAAGCTAAAAATGAGCTACCCCCCAAGATAAAACCAAGCTACAAGCTGGCAAAGAAACAAAAGAACAACACACAAGCATAAAAGGGAGGGTAGCTAATATGGTATCACTCGGCACTATGGTAAGGGGTAGAATGAGCACTCCCCTCACCGACATCAGAAGAAACCATGCTAGAAACATTATCCAGGAGCATAGGGCCCTTACCCTTTAACATCCTCGCCTTCTCGGCTCTATCCCTAGAAAAAAGGTGGGATCAATCATCAAGGACCGGCTCACCCGATATCCCCTAACGGCCAAAAGTCTCAGGAGAGGGAAAAGGGTTAGGGTTCGTCGGATCGTAAGTAAAATCACACCCTCTCGGCCTCTTATAATCGTAAGAGGTTGGGGAGGTCCCCGTAATGGCATGCAACATAGACAATCAATAGTAGAAATAGTAGAAGATATGGTTCTTGTCAAGGATGTACCTCCCGGGGATGAAGAGGGAGCAAGAGGAAGATAAGGATTATGCCGGAGGTTACGCAACGGAGCTCTCTTGAGGGCTTGATCAATCGACACCTTGTTAGGTCTCCATAGAAGAGGGGTGTCCACACATCTAACCATAGCCTCGGGGTGAGGGATGGGGCACCAATCCGTAGTCCTAGTAACCTTCTAAATGTAAAAGTTTGTTTTGGTGGTGTGCTCCAAAAAACGTTAATTTATCATGGGATAGATGCTTAAGAAGTGGTAAGGAGCTTTCTACCTTTTATCATGGATTGGGACAAGCGACTCGAGCATTGCTTTATACTTCTTGTTGAGAGAAAGAATCAAAATGGTAATCATACCCCCTAATTGGATAATTCCGGAGAGATGGACACCATCTCTTGTATCAATGAAACGGTCAAGAAAATGCGTAGTGAAGTCAATGACCGCTACCTCCTCTTCAAATGGCTTATCCACTAGCCATAACCAACTCAACTCCTCTCGACAAATAGTACCAAGGGACTCCTTGGAGAAGAAAGCATATGTAAGAAATCGGCTAATATACCTCAAGGCCGCATGAATAATGACGCCGCTTTTGAATATTGAGGACTATATGAGTCCTCGATAGAAATATGCCTCCACCACTTGAAATCACAATAATTGTTATCACGTTGCAAAGCATCAAATGCCAAATACACAAGTGGGACATCCTCACTAGGAGTTGGAAACTTGAAAACCTCATTAAATTGGGAATGAGGCACCGAATGATCATTGTTGAAAACTTGAAAAGAAATTCTTCGAGAAGTTTCACCTTCCAAATCTTCCTCAAGGACCTCAAGTGAAGAGAGGAATTCGAAAGTAATCCTAGAGTAGGTGGGAGCATGAAGGCTTAAGAATTCCTCTAACCCCAAGTTTCGAGCCAATTTCTCACATCATCTTCGATACCCAACGAAGTAGATGCCGACGAATCATAGAATCTAGTAGAAAAAAGTGTCTGAGTTGAAAGCTTGGAAAATCTCTCCCAATGCTCTTCCTTTATGAGCTTAATTTCATAAGTGTCTTTGATGTGGGAAGGAGGAGGAACCACCTCCCTATAGGTAGAACATCTAGCCCTCTTAGCTCGACGGAGAGGAACCATTCTACACACATAATTGAAAAATTCTCTAGTGAGTAAGGACCATGAGCCACAAGTAACAACACTCCAAACCATCATCAAATACAAACTATGCACATTAACATTTCCGTATCAATATAATCAAACTATAATTCCAATAAAGGTGGTGCCAAAATTACAGTATTGTCAAGCAAAATCATCAAACACAAGTTCATAGAATCACCAAAATTTCATCATTAACACAACAGATGAAGGAGATAGTAGGGAATATGGATACAATAATGAGGCTATAACCAAATCAATCTAAACACTCATGAACAACCAAGGTAGAAAATTTATTATAAGTATTAATAGAAATGAAGAAATCATACCTTAGATTGATGAGAGTTTACAAAGAAATGGACACAAAGCACTAAGAAACAGAATTATGCCAAATTGCAAGCAACAAACCCCAAACCAAAGGGGTACCCAAAAATCCAACTTTAGGAAAGAGAAAATCACAATAAAAGTGTTAGAGTAGGGATTAAGAGTAATAAGCAACTAGATGAAGTAAAAAATTGTGAAATTTCAGTAGTAAAATAATGAAGGAAAATGGTTATGATGCTTGAACAATAACCAAGTGAAAATGAAATGAAAAGAAGTGAGAGAAAAAGAGATAAGGTCGGTGCGTTTAAGGAGCAACAATAGGGGTTGCGCGGCCGCGCCATAGTCGTGCGCGCGCAACGCCCTTCTGGGTACACGATCTTCCGAATCCCTCCTCGTGAGCACATCAGTGAGTACAAGGGAAATGATCATGACGAAGGTTGGGGAAAGCAGTTTCTAAACCCTAATAATGTGGGTTCAACACTAGATTTTCATGAACCCACCTTTTGAACCCACCAAACTTCAATTTTTTAAGCATACTTCCAATTCATCAACTTAAGCACTCTCTCTTCAAAATAGGCACCAAAATTATTGTAAATCCAATAAAAACCACCTAAAGACACAATCAAGAAAAGAAATCAAATGAGAATAGAAACAACAAAAAGAAAACAAAAATCAAGGAAATAGAGAAAATGGTTAGAAACTCGGGTTGCCTCCCGAAAAGCGCTTGTTTAATTTGATTAGCTTGACGTTCTCTATCCTTCAAGGTGGATCAAAAAAAGTCATATCATGAACAACCCCCACAAAAACTCCATCAGGGTAGCGCTTGAGCCTATGACCATTGACATTGAAAGTTCTTGAAAAATCCAAAGGAGATATTTCAACCACATCATTAAGAAAAACCTCTTGAACAACAAAAGGCCCACTCCAACGAGACATTAGCTTCCCGGGAAAAAATATCATCCTAGAATTGTAAAGAATGACCTTGTCTCCAACATTGAACTCCTTCTTCTCAATAAGTTTATCATGCACTTCCTTAGTGCGAGTCTTGTACATGCTTGCACAATCATAATCATCCAATCGAATTTCTTCCAACTCATGGAGATCAAGCCAACATTGCTCACCTGCACTTGCCAAATCGAAATTAATTTTCTTGATAGCACAATGAGTACAATGCTCAAGTTTGACCGGAAGATGACAAGACTTCCCAAAAACCAAGCGGTAAGATGTAGTGCCAATAGGAGTTTTAAAAGCCATTCTATATGCCCACAAGGCTTCATCTAGCTTATCCGACCAATCCTTCCTATTTCTTGCGACCGTCATCTCAAGAATCAATTTGATTTGACGGTTAGACACTTCGACTTGCCCACTAGTTTGAGGGTGATAGGGGAGCCCGAAACGTTGAGTAACTCCATGTTTCTTCTACATCTTGCGGAAGGCGCTATGCACAAAATGAGATCCATTATCACTTATAACAGCCTTTGGGATGCCAAACCGTGGGAAAATTATCTTCTTGAACATCTTCATTACTACCTTATGGTCATTTTGTAGGTGAGGCAATAGCTTCCACCCATTTTGACACATAATCGACGACAACAAGGATATATTGATTCCCATATGAAGTAGGAAAAGGACCCATGAAATCGATTCCTCATACATCAAAAATTTCCAACTCTAGAATGGGTTGTTAGGGCTTTTCGTTTCTCTTTGAAATGTTTCCAGTCCTTTGGCATCGGTCTCAACACTTGACAAACTCCCTAACATTTTTGAAGAGATTTGGCCACCATAGTCCGCATTGGAGCACCTTCGAAGCTGTTTTTGAGACACACATGTGACCCCCACTCGGATCTGAGTGGCACATCTTCAACACACTAGGAAACTCCTTATTTGGAACACATATCCTCAACAACCCATCAACACCCCTTTTATACAAAATCGGTTCATCCCAAACATAATGCCTAATCTCCATTTTGAGCTTCTTTCTTCGATTCTTAGAAAATGAAGGAGGAAATTCCCCACAAGCAAGATAGTTCACCAAATCAGCAAACCATGGGAGTTCCTTCACATCTATAGCATACAAAGAATCATCTAACATTCTATCTTCAATGGGAGACCCATGATCTTGAACTTGTAAATCCTCAAGCCTAGATAGATGATCCGCTACTACATTCTCCGCTCCTTTCTTATCTTTAATTTCAAGGTCAAAAGTTTGAAGCTCTAACACCCAACGAATTAGTCTTGGCTTTGATTCCTTCTTCTGAAAAAGGTATTTTAGGGTCGCATAATCGGTGAACACAATTGTTTTGGACCCTAACAAATAGAAACAAAATTTTTCAAAGGAATGAACAATAGGCAAGAACTCCTTCTCCGTTGTAGTGTAATTACGTTGAGCTCCATTTAGAGTCTTGGACATATAATAAATCACTTGAAGTTTCTTATTAAGTTTTTGACCTAAAAATCCTCCAATAGCCGTATCACTTGCATCATACATCAACTCAAATGACAAATCCCATCTTGGATCTTGAACAATTGGAGTGGAGATTAGAGCTTTCTTCAACTTATTGAATGCCTCTAAACACTTGTCATCGAATACAAACTCGACATCCTTTAGAAGAAGATCATTGAGGGGCTTTAAAATGAGTGAAAAATCTGTAATGAATCTTCTATAGAACCCGACATGGCCCAAAAATGATCTCACACCTTTTACATTAACCGGAGCTGGAAACTTTTCGATAACCTCAATCTTTGCCCTGTCAACCTCTATGCCCTTGTGGGAAATTTTGTGCCCAAGGACTATTCCTTCTTCAACCATGAAATGACATTTTTCCCAATTTAACACCAAGCTCACTTTCTCACATCTTGCCAAACACTTTTTAAGAATTTTGAGGCATGCTTCAAAGGAAACCCCACCTACGGAAAAATCATCCATAAATACCTTCATCTCCTCCTCCAACATATCTCCAAAGATATTCATCATACACCGTTGGAAAGTGGCAAAAGCATTACTAAGGTCGAATGACATTCTCCTATAGTCAAAGGTACCATAAGGACAAGTAAAAGTAGTTTTCTCTTGGTCATCGGGATAAATAAAGATTTGAAAAAATCCCTAGTAAACATCAAGGAAACAATAGTACTTTGGCCTCGTTAGTCTTTCAGTATTTGATCAATGAAAGAAAGGGGGAAGTGATATTTCTTGGTGGATGTGTTTAGACGTCTATAGTTTATACACATCTGCCAACCGGTGACTGTCCTTGTTGGAATAAGCTCATCTTTTTCATTCTTGACGACGGTCATGCCTCCCTTCTTAGGAACGACATGAACGGGTGAGACCCATCTAGATCTTGAGATGGGGAACATGATTCCCGCATCTAGAAGCTTAGTAATCTCTTTCTTTACTACCTCCCCAATTTGGGGATTAAATTTCCATTGTCGTTCAATATAAGGAAGGGCACCCTCCTTAAGGGTTATGTGGTGCGTACATAAAGTGAGGCTTATGCCTTTGAGGTCATCAATGATATAACCCAAAGCATCTTGGTGCTTTCTCAAAACACCGCATAACGCTTGAGCTTGGCTTTCACTCAAAGATGCGCTAACAATCACGGGGTAAGTAGAATATGGGCCAAAGAATTCATACCTAAGGTGTGATGGTAAAGGTTTGAGCTCTACCATAGGAACACCTTTACCTTCCTTGGTCGAAGCTGCTTGCAAAGCCTCTTGGCTTGAAATTTTCATGCAAATTTGCTCATCACTTCCTTCAACACTCCCATCTAACAAGTTCTTAAACACAGCCATGTCCTTTGCTAAGAGCACCTATCTTTCCTTGTTCAACAAAACACACTCAAGAGGATCATTAGTTGTGAGCAAGTGCTCATGCATTGAATGTACAAGATTATCTAAAATTTTAACTCCCATGCAATTCTCATGAGATGAAGAAGGATATTTCATACTTTCATTCAAATAAAATTCAACTCCCTCATCTCCAATTTTAAGTGAAATCTTAGAACTTTTGACATCAATCAAAGCACCCAAAGTAGCAAGAAATGGTCTTCCAAGAATAATAGAAATTTTATAATCCTCATCTATGTCAAGGACCACAAAATCTATCGGAATGATGAACTTTCCTACCCTTAAGGGAACATCCTCTACCTTGCCCCTTGGGATCCTAATTGATCTATTGGCTAATTGCAAGGTAATGTTGGTAGATAAAAGTTCTCCCTTCTCTAGTCTTTGATATACCGAGTATGGCATAACGCTAACACTAGCTCTTAAATCACACAAGGCATTATCAATTTGCATTTTATAAATAGCCCAAGGGATAGAAAAGTTTTCGGGATCCTTCAACTTGTGTGGGATTTTGTTTATTATGATTGCACTACAATTCTCGGTCAAGTTAACCGTTTCCGCCACATCACATGTTCTTTTTCCACTCAAAATCTTCTTAAGGAACTTTGCATAATTTGTCATTTTTTCTATCACAACGGTAAAAGGAAGAGTAAGATGAAGTTGTCTAAGCATCTCTATAAATTTCCCGAATTGCTCGTCTAACTTGTGCCTATTAAACTTTTGGGGATAAGGGAGCTTAGGCTTGTAAACTTCTCTTTATCTCTCTTTCACCTTCTCACCTTGTTCCTTATTGACTTCCTCAACTAGAGTATTCTCATCTCCCTCATTCCCAATTTGGCCATTGCTAGGACTATTTTTAGCATCACTCTTCTTAGAGATTTCACTCTTAAGGATCCTACCACTTCTAGTCACAATAGCATTCATAGGGATCTTAAGATCTAAGCTTGGTGAAGTCAAAGAAGAAAGATTTGTAAATTCCTTAAACTCACTAGCCAATTGAGAAATTTGGGTCTCCAACCCCTTATGGCAAGTTAACATGTCATTGAATTTCTCATTTCTTAGGGTCATGTAGGTGTCCAACAATTTGGCTTGCTTCTCTATGACACCCTCCAAGAAACTCCTAGAGGAAAATGATTGATCATACAAATTATCACTATGCTCTTGGGTATTCGGGATAAATCCAAGTGGGGCAACTCTTTGAACATTCGATTAGAAATTTCCCCTACTTTGATTGTTCCAATTACCTCTACATTTATTTTGGCCACTATCGTGATTATGGTTACCATAACCTTGGTAATAGTCCCCATATCCTTGGCCATGACTTTGACCATTATAACTATGGTTGTTATAGCTACCACAATTCCCTTGGATTCCATGTTTTCTATAACCGCCATTTTGGTTATAATTATCATAGTTCATTTGGTTGTGATAATTCCTACTTAATTCCAACATTCCTTTGAGTATCAAATCTAGGTCCAACATTGTTATTAGCAACTAAGTTCACATATTTATTCTCACTCCCAACATATTCATTACAAGGAACATTAGGGCAAATAGAAGCATCATTGTCATTCATTCCACACAAATCACAAAACCAACATTCTCTAACCATGCAACAAGAAGAAGGAAGATAGTTAGAGGAAGAAGAAGTACCTCTCCCTTAATTTGGGAGGGAAGAATTGGTGCTTGTGAGGTTGCGCTGTCGAGCTTATACTTGATACAAACTACCTCCTTTCCTAAATCCGAAATTTGAGTCGATAAATTATTGATAGCATTGAGTTGTTCCATTGAGCATCCTATTGTACTACTCATGTTTATCGACTCCTTCTCACCATCTTGACATTCCATGTAGTTTCTAACTACATCCTCAATGATACCTACAACCTCTTCCTCGGTCTTATTCATGATTGGGCCTCCGGCTCCGGCATCTAGACTTGCCCCCCTTCAGAACTCAAACCGCCATAAAAAATTAGAATGATTAGGTAAGTGGGGATCCCATGGTGAGGACACTCACGTTGATACTCTTTGTATCTCTCCCATGCTTCATAAAGGCTTTCACTAGATTTTTGCTTGAAACCTTGAATCAAAGCTCTTGCCTCCGCCGTTTTCTTTTGAGGGAAGGAACGGGAAAGGAATTCCTTGGTGACTTCATCCCAAGCTCTCAAAGAATTAGGCTTCACTTCCTTATCTATCAACTCTTGAGCTCTTCAAATTAGAGAAAAAGGAAATAGCTTAAGCCTTATGAATTCTTGAGCTACCCCGTTCACCTTGATTATGTTGTAATATTACTCGAATTCTTTAAGATGATTTAGGGGGCTCTCATTCACTCCTCCATTATATTGCTGCCTTTCAATCAAAGTTACCATTGCAGGTTTGATTTCAAAGTCACTATCCGGGATCAATAATGGAGCAATCCCGCTCTCATCCTAGTACCCAATTCCTTCAATATAACCCTTGGGATATCTCCCATGTTAACTTGCATACACAAACTCAAAGGTAAGTATTAGTAACGTGAAACGGCTACAAATGTAGCCAAATGAGAAAAATCTTTTTGTATTTTAAAATTTTAGTGAAATAGACTCAACAACAATAACAAACATCTACGCCATTCCCCGGTAACAACACCATTTTTTATCTAAGGCAAAGACTAGGTCGTTGAAAACTAATGTACCCTCGGTCAAAACAAAATTTGTAATCTCTCAACACACCCCTATACCAAGCATAGAGTAAGTCGAGGGTCGAACCACTAGGAATAGGAGGTGAATGCTAATGTCAAAGCTAAGTTATTTCGAAGCAATGAAGTGAGGTGTGTCTATTCTACCAATCAAACAATCGAAATGAAATCGAATTTATCAAGCACCAGGGAATGGATCCACATAAACTCGTAATTAATTCAACTAATTGGGATAGGAGATGACAAAGTCAAGTGTTGCGAGGGAAAATCAATTAAGCAATCAAGAGAGTATGGTAGGCTAATCTCCTAGAGGTCAAACTAGCGCCAACTACGAGAGACTCTAGCTAGGAAACTTGCAAACCTACTCAATCGACAAATGTAAGCCACAAATCAATTTTCCGTATGAATGTGAACCTACAATGCAATCTAGTGTGAAAAATTAGGTTGATCACTCCTAAATTAAACACACACATGCACATAATCAATCAACCAATTTAATCACAACATCAACTCCACCAATTACCCCCAATTCGCATAAATCCATTACTCATATATTCTTCACCATTTCCCTAGCAAGAAAACTACTCACTATTCATGGAAATCAATCTCAATACTAAACTAAACGTCAAATTCATCATCATGATATTAATAAAAAATAAACCAATTCAAAAATCAATAAACTTGAACAATTAACAAAGAAATTGAGATCAAAACTAAGATTGCATTAAAGTAAAGAAATTCATACAAACTTGCTTTAATTCAATGGAGAAAACACTTGGAATCATTAATCTTCAATCATCAATCAAGAACTTCTCTCTCTATTAACTAGAGTTTCTCTCTTTAAAAAACTAACCTAATTCTATTCTAATTTCTGAAAAATTGAACTCTCTCTAAAAATAGAGTGAAAATCTATATTTAGTAAAACTAACTAAGAGAAAGTAGTTAGATCATCCCCAAATAAACCCGTACAGGAGCGGCCAACTATAAGAGAGAGCGGGACATCACAAATCTGGGTACGGAACAGAGACCCATATAGGCGCGCCCGCGCCTGGGAACAGGGCAACCTTCTTCCCTATCATGCTGATGTTCCTCGTGCGTTCTACATAATGCTCTTGATAAACATGGGACCTTGCAGTTTCTAAACTCCATGTTTATGGGTTCAACACTAGAAATCATGCCCCCACGGCTTGAATGCACAACTTAAGGACTTTAGGAACTTACACTTCTCCATGCTTGAGCTTCAAATGGAGAACATTAGACATCCTAATAAATGTCAAACTTGGGAAGAGGCCTCGAGAAACTTGGATAACGACCTTAACCTGAAAAATAAAGGAAAACAAGCAAATAAAAGAGAAAATAACAAAATAAACCAAGAAATGTATAAAGAAAGAAATCCAACTAAGAAAATGAAAATAAAAGAAATAAAGAATAAAATAAGGAAAAGCTAAGTAAAAGAGCTATAGAATAACATGAAATTCACCCTAAAAAGAACCGAATGAGTGCCATAAATGTTACTCATTAATATCAAGTCATGTTCCTAGCAAAAGGCACACAAACATTTCTATGAGAGAAAATCTAATCCAAAAAGAAAAGAAAATAAAAGCAATAAAGCACGGGTTACTTATCGAGAAAGGCTTGCTTAAGGTCCAAGCTTGACCGCTCTAGAAAATAATATTGCAACGAACACAAGATCTTGTCAAATGCACTACTACAAATTTGAGAAGATAGTAAGTATGCACATGACAAAATGAAGGTATGCAAAAAGCTTAGTGCACACCTTGCATACCTACGAGGAGAGAGATGCCAAGAGAAAGAAGAAGAATCAAAGGAAATTCAACAAAATAAGAAAAAGAAGAAGAAGAAAAAGAAGAAGAAGGAGGCAAACTCTTCTAAAAATGTTTTTCGGTGGCAACATCACCCTTTTATTTAATGGAATACGAATGAGGGACATGTAAATTATCATAGACAAGAGGGTGCCCCAATAGGCTTATGAATAAAAGAAGGGAGGGACATAGGAATGTAGGGGATATGGTTAAATCTTCTTGAAAAAGGGACATGAGAAGAGGGAATAGGGGCTATGGTCTCACAAATGAACTCTTCCTCACCACCATGCCTCACATCACCAATAAGAGCATGAAAATCAATCATAGAATCCTTAAAAGAAGAACACTCATGATCTTCATCTCCCTCAAACATCCAACTTCCAAGAGGACTAATTAATCCCCTCCATCGCAACAATGAACAACAACTCCCGCAACTTCCTTAAAGCCTAAAGTCTCAAAACCTTGCATATATGAGAGGATGAAAATTCATTTCAAAATCATCTCTCTCCCATGAAGCGTGCTGAATGAACTCATTCAAAAGGCTATGGGTTTTCTTTTGACTCTCAAAGAACTTATGGGACATAACCTCAAACGAATCTAAATACTTATGGAAAGAAGAATCACAATCATGCATAAGAGACTCATCAAGATGGGAAGGATGGTTAGGGTTTTAGAAATTAAGACTTTCTTCACTCTCAACTTCTTCACCATCACTCAAATGCTCGCCAATAAGATCCTCGCACTCTCTTGGTTGCTCAAAATCATCCTCATCATCTTCAACACACATATTAGGTTTAGAATTTTCAAAAACAAGCATCAAAGATGGCAATTGGCTTTCTAGCTCACCACCTCTCTCCTTCTTTCCTCCTCAAAACGATCATCACTCGCTTTCATCATCTCCAATTGACTTCTCATAGAGTTAAGAATTGACTCATTACTAGGCCAAATCTCATTACTAAGCTCAATATGCCTAATTTGAGTTTCAAAAATAACAATAAGAGATTCAAAAGGTGTAGAAGATTGAGGTTCAACAAGAAAAGAAGAAATACAACCAAGATTGAAAGAATCAACATGAAAATCATGAGCATATTTATCACATTGAGGAGTGGGGGGACAATCAAACACATGAGATTCATTATTACGGGAACAAAGCACATCACAAGAAGGCATCGTAAAAAAAATGAAGAAAATTGAAACATACCATTAGCATCAACTTGATTATGCACTTCATCATCATGAACAAAAGAGGAAATAGAGTTGAAATCATTTGTCCTAGGTTCACTCATGGGATTATTTGACAATTCATGGGAATTCATGCTATATAAGAAAAATTAAGACATTGCACATCAACATTAGAATCATGATTACTCTAATCATATACATCCCAAGCAAACCAAACATACAAATCCCAAGCATCTTGAATTAACAATGCTCTAAATTCACCATTATGCGTGTATTCAACTTCATTCCTATTTTTCACATTCAAACCAAAATAACAAATCTCACCAGCTTCCCAAAGATTACAACAATAGTCTAAAAATCCCTTAAGTCTATTGAAATATTCACAAAAAGACTTATTATATCATATTGAGGAAATGAGAGACATGCCATTTTATTTTAACAAAAAAAACAAAAATAAAATAAAAGAAAAGTATATACAAAGACCTAGACTTGAGCAATAAAAAACACTCAAACATACACACCGTTCCCTGGCAACGACGCCATTTTGATGAGGAGAAAAGACTAGGTCGTTGACTAATCCTCCCTAAGTAAAACTAAATTTATAAACACTGAACAAACCTACATACAAGTATAGAGGTAATTCAAGGGTCGAACCCAAAGGAACTGTAATGTTCAAGCACTTTCATTTTGGGCGCCGAAGGTAGGTGGAAGTCGAAGGTGAAGAAGGAACACTACAACTAACAAACAAACAACGAAGGAAATAAATACTAGGAATGTGGATCAACAAGTAATCATAACAATTGCATGAACTTGGGACAAACTTGCCAATCAATGGTTGTGAAGACTAATGATAAGAGCAATCAATTGGAATCAAAGCGATATCTCCTTGTCATTTAGCTAGATGTTTCCTCGAATAACAAAGTAAGAGAATCACAATACAAACCAATCAATAATTGCAATTCCTAAATCAATTGTTCGTGTCATTAGCAAATACAATGCAATGTAGGATAATTCTCAAGGCCTAATCAAAGTATACACATGAAAACTTCCATTAATCACTTTAATCTAAACAATCAATCAACACAATTTCCAAATTAATCACAATGAATCAATCAAACAAGTATCACCCCATTCCTAGCGAAACAACTACTCAATAATCATCATCTATAAAAAATAATCTTAATAAATCAAGAATCAACAAAATATCAAGAACAATTATACTAATCAAGATCAAACATCAAAATTAAACCAAACAAGCATAAAATTAAACAAAGCAATAAAATGAGATAGTGTAAGAAATGCCCATTGATAATAGAGAAGATCTTCAATACAATTGTCACCCTTGTATTATCAATCTCTCACATCACCATTAAAATTCCTCACTTTCTCTCTCTAAATTTACTCCTGAACTAACCCTTAAACTAGAAAGAGAAACTCTCAACTGAGCTAAAATTATGTCTCAAACCTCCTACAAAAATCGGGTAAAGAAGGTATTTATAAAGGTGCGGAAAAGAGATCGAGCGAAGCCGGAAAGTAGGGGACGAGTGCCCGCGCGGGTAGAGTCGCGCTCCCGCGCCCGCGCTAATGGGCTGCACGCCGGCTCAAAACTGGGTTTCTTTCGACTTTCTTTGCCGCTATGGGCGCTCGATAATGAGCCAATGATCTCGGATGATGCATGATGATAGAGGCAGTAGCTAGGAGCTCTTTTGTGGGTTTGACACCACTTCTTCATGGGAGTACGGCTCGAGAGCGTAAGAACTAGAACTTGGAGCATCAACTTCCTTGCATCTTGAGCTTCCTCAATGTTATGAGCCTACTACACAAGCATCTTCCAATCTTATAACCAGAACAAGAAGAACAAGCAAGGATGGGAGAAAATCCAAGAGTGGTGTTGAAGGAATTGGGGATTTTGGGTTCATATAGATTTGAAAGTGGGATTGCTACACCTACAACACCGGTGAATGACTTCAAAATAAGGCCGACAATGATCACTTTGATAGAGAGGCGACAATTTAGTGGGGCTAAACATGAAAGACCGCTAAACAATCTAAAAGAGTTTGAAAAATATTGCAACACTATCAAAGTTAATGGAATTTCCCGCGCTTTTTCCCTTTTCTCTCATAGGGCGTGCCTTGGAATGGTTAGAAAAGTGTAGACACCCAAATGTGTCTCCCCAAAACCAAACCCAGTGATGAATACCTTTCAAGTCAATTTATTATCGAACAAAGTGAAAGTGTGAAAAGTGTATTGATGAGGATGTTATTATTAAAATTTTTCTCTTTCTTTTTTCAAAGATATTTCTTTTCTTACTCTATTTATAAAAAATAGCCCGTCCAATTTGGTTTGTCCACGATAAGGGTCCAATAATAGTGTAGTTGATTGGGCTCGAAAAGTGCTTTCCAACGATATATTATAAGCCCAATTTCGATGAATTATAAGAAAGTTATGGATTAAATTAAATTAGGCCTAATGATTTTAAACGTGGCCCAATGATCTAGAGGAGGGCCTATTAATTATTATTCCTAAAGTGATTAGGATTGATTTCAATATTATAGGAATATCTAGAAGGTTTTATTTAATTCTAATAAGGTACTTAGGATGTCTTTTGTTAGGGTCCTAATTGAAATTGATGTCACAAAGCCTATCCCTAATTTGGTATTTATATAAAGCCCTTCAAAGGAAATGTTGGAGCTTAAGGTAGTGTATGAGTAGGCTCCACCCTTTTTCTCTAAGTGCAATAAGATTATCCATGACTACTTTTCCAAGCCTGTGCCTGCGGGTTCTAAGCAGCCTCAGCCTAAGCAACCTGATGCTGCAGCACCTAAATAGAAGCAAGTCTGGGTTCCTAAGCCTAGTCAAGTTCCTACTTATGTTGTTGTTGCTACTGATGTTTCTGTTCATGGGCAGCCTGTAATCACCGTAAATGTTCATACTTCCCAGAACAACTCTGATGAGGGATGGAGAGTAGTTGGAAGAAAGACAAAACGTCAGCAAACAAGAGTTAATCAGCCTGTTGCTACTTCTAATGTTTTTATTACTTTATTTGCAAGTGAGACAGAGGGTGCAAGTGGTTTCATTGTTAATCCAAGAGGGAGTGAGGTTAATCCCCCTCTAGTTCCATGATTATCTTTATCTGTAATGTTAGAGGCCTAAATGAGCCTAGTATGGTGGCTTTTGTAAAGAAGTTGCTTCATTCTCATTCAGTTAATTTTGTTGGGTTTCTTGAAACTATAGTCAAATTTAAAAATGTCCATAGTTTTCAAACGAAGTTTGGTCCTGCTTGGTCTTGGACTTGCAATTATGACTGTTCTCCTAAAGGGAGGATTTGGATTGGTTGGAATGCAGATAGAGTTATTGTCAATGTTTTGAAGGTTCATGAGCAATTCATTCATTGCACTGTCCTTAATAAGGACCTTTCTACTCAAATTCAGCTCACTATTACCTATGGTCTTTCACTCTATCCATGATAGGCTTCCCATGTGGGAGGGTATAAAAAATATCTTTATTTAGCATTCTCCTTGGCTATGTTCTGGTGATTTTAACTCTGTTCTTAGTTCCTCGGACAGGCTTCATGGTAATGATATTACTGAGTATGAGACTAGGGATTTTTAGAGTTTTATTGATGATTTTGCTCTCACCGAGATAAAGAGCAAGAGAGCTTTCTATTCTTGGTGAAATAAGGCTCACTCTGGTCCTAGAACTCTTTCTAGGATTGATAAAGTCTTTGGTAATCAAGCTTGGTTGGACTCCCATGGTCTACCTGGCTCCTTCCTTATCATATCATAATCTAGTTCTTCTAGATATTTGTCCTGCTTCTACAGGAAAGGGTAGGCCCTTTAGATTCTTGAGCTGTATAGCTGAGCACTGTGATTTTCTTGATACTGTTTCCCAAGCCTGGTGTTCTGGTGGTTCTGTCTGGCAGAAACTAAAAATTGTGAAATCTAGTATCAAGTCCCTGAATAACAAGCATTTTAGTAATAATGGTGAGAAAATTGATCAAGCTCATGTTACCCTTGCTGAGATTCAGAATTTAAATGCTTAGTATACTGATGACTTGGAGTGATATATTAGAGAATCTGATGCTATTAAGGTTGTCAAGCACTGTAATGTTCTCAGTTGTGAAAACTAGGAAAGCAAGGAATATAATTGATTCTATCTTTGATTCTAATCAGGTGTTTCTTAAGGATACTGATGCTATTTCTCAAGAGATAATTTCTTTCTATAAGTCCCTTTTAGGGACTAAGGCTTCTTGGCTTCCTTCTTTTGACCTTGTTACTATGAGAAGAGCTAAGCAGCATAGTATTGATGCTCAGATTTACCTTATTCAGCCTGTTTGTCATGCTGAAATTGATGATGCTCTTAATGGTATTAATAACACTAAGGCTCCTGGTATTGATTGGCTTTAACTCCTTTTTCTTGAAGAGAGCTTGGCATATTGTGAAAGATGATATCTATTCTAGTGTTGTTGATTTATTTACTAAGGGAACTTTTCCTAAGCAATGGAACTGTACAACTTTTACTCTTGTTCCTAAAGTCCCTAATGCTTCTCATGTAAAGGATTTTAGGCCTATAGCTTGTTGTACTGTTGTTTATAAGCTTATCTCGAAGATTATCACTACTATACTTGCTATTGTTATTGGTGAGGTCATTAATGATGCTCAAGCAGGTTTCATTCTAGGCAAGCATATTCGAGATAACATCCTCATTGCAATTGAGTTGATCAAGGGTTATGATCACAAATTTATTTCCCTTAGATGTATGGTCAAGGTGGATCTAAAGAAACCTTGTGACTTAATTGAATGAGGATTCTTGATTGCTGTTATGCAGGAGCTTGGTTAAGACAAGGTGATCCTATGTCTCCTTTCCTTTATGCTATAAGCATTGAGTACCTTTCCAGATGCCTTTATGAGCTTAGGCTAGCTCCAGATTTCAATTTCCATCCTAGATATGAAAAACTAAGCGTAACTCACATGATGTTTGTTGATGATTTATTAATGTTTTCTAGAGCTGATAGTATTTCTGTTAATCTTCTCTTTCAAGATTTTTCTAAATTCTCAGAAGCTTTAGGCTTTTCTACTAATCTTTATAAAAGTGAATTCTACTTTGGTGGGATTTCTGCTGAAGTTGAGACTGAGCTTAGAGAGCTTCTAGGAGTCTCTCAAGGATATATTCCTTTTAGATATCTTGGAGTCCCCCTTTCTTCTAAGAAGCTTACAATTGCCCAATGTAGGCCTCTAGTGGAGAAAGTGACTACAAGGATTCAAGGGTTGATGGATAAACACGTCTTATGCTGAGAGACTCCAATTGGTTAAAAGTGTTTTGTTTGGAATTCATACTTATTAGGCTTAAATTTTCATTTTTCCAAAGAAAATTTTAAAAGAGATTGAGGATAGGTTGAGATGTTTTCTTTGGACTGGCTCCTCTGCTCTTGCGAGGAAATCTTTGGTTGCTTGGAACTATGTTTGCCTTCCTGAGGTTTGTGGTCGCTGGAATTTTCTTTCCCTCCCTGAGTGGAACAAAGCTGTTGTCACTAAATTGCATTAGGATATTACTCACAAGGTTGATAATAATGTTTGGGTGAAATAGGTGCATATTTACTATTTCAAGCATAGAGACTGTTGGACTACCCCTATCCCTACTAAGTCTTCTTGGTTTTTGAAGAAAATTTTGAGTTGCAGAGACATTGTGAATGATCAAGGGGGATGTGATGCCTTAATTCAAGGCAATAAAATGAAAATTAGGAAGCTTTATGCTGCTATCAGACCTCAAGTCCGTAAGGTTCCTGGAAAAGGGTTGTTTGCCACAATTTGGCAACCCCTAAGAATGTGTTTATCCTGTGGTTATCCATGTCAAACAAACTAGTCACAAAGGATAGATTGATGCTAATGCACATCTTATGTGATCCTAAGTGCTTTCTTTGCTTGAAAGATAATGAGAGTGTAAAGCATTTGTTCTTTGAGTGTGAATATTCAAGGCAAGTTTGGAGCAAAATTCTAAGCATCTTGCAGATTACTAAACCTGTTTAGAGTTTTGATGATGAAATTGAGTGGTTAAAGAGAATCTGTAGAAGTTCTAGAGTAAAAAAAAAGGTGATCCAAGTTGCTTTCACTGAAACAGTTTACAATATTTGGATCTTGAGGAATTCTGTTTTGTTTACTAGGAGATGTAAGTCTGTTGAAGCTGCAGCTAGGGATATCATCTTCCACACTGCCTGCAGATGCCCTGCTGGTAACAAGTATTTGATTATATAATAGTCTGATGTCTGCTAGTTTGTCTGTTTTTCTTCTCTGTAGTTATTTCTGGGTTTGATAGTTTCTATTTTGGCAGTCTTAGTGCTTTACTAGTTTTTGCAGTTTTGCCTTTTTGTATTTTTGGTGTTTTTACCCTGCTGTCTAGCCCTTCTGCTTGTTCTCTGCAATTGATTTAAGGGGGGACTTGTTGGGTCATTTGTTTGTGCTGTTTTCTTTTTGCTAGATGTTCTGTCTTTTGTTTGCAGTTGCAGGCCTGCCTGCTATGTTGTTTCTTTGCTGTTGGTATCTGTTCTGGTCCTGGCTTCCAAAACCCTTCCTAGAAGGTGGCTGTGAGTCCAGGTTGTTGACGCAGGTTGAGACTAGGTCGTTGAAACTAACCCCTACCCAAGGCCAAACAAAATTTGTAAACACTCAACACACCCCTACACAAGTATAATGGTAAGTTGAGGGTCGAACCCATAGGAATGGTGGGCGATTATCTATTTTTTATGGTTAAGCTATTCCGAATTGTAATGATTGGGTGTGAATGTTATGCTGGGACAAAGAAGACTAATAAACAAGAAGAAATCAAGTCTAATAAACACTAGGGCTAGGATCCACATGTAATCATAACGGATTCAACTAATTGGGAGGTCAAATTGACTAAGTCAAGCAATGTGAGTGAAAATCAATCATGAAACCAAAAGAGCATATCAAGTTATTCTCCTAGAGGTCTAACTAGCGTCAACTATGATATACTCTAGCTAGGAAACATCACAAGACGCCTTAGTCGTGTAAATGCAAGCCACAAATCAATGGTCCGCATCAATGTGAACTTACAATGCAATCTAGTACAACAATCAAAGTTAGCTACTCTTTAATTAACCACACACATGCACATGATCATCAAACAATTTAATCACATAGTTAACTCCACCAATTTTCCCCAATTAGCTTTAATCCATTACTCATACATGCTTCACCATTACCCTAACATGCTATCTACTCACTAACCATTGAAATTAAGATCAAAACAACACTAAGCAACAAATTCATCATGATCAAATCAAACAAGCTAAAATCAAACACAAATCAATCAATCTTCAATCAAACTTGAACATTCAACAAACAATTGAAATCAAACTAAAGATCAAACTAAATATTTCATTAAAGAAAAGGAAATCTTACAAACTTGATCAAAGATCTAAAGAAATGGAGAAAGCTTCAATCATCAACAATCCACTATGAAATTCTCTCTCTAAAAACCTAGAGTTTCTCTCTCTAAAAATCTCTCTAATTTGATCAAAAACTAATTCTAATTATATTCTAATCCTTCTCTCTCTAAAAATAGAAGGAAAGACTATATATAAGAATGATACAAAAGAAGAAGTAGTTAGATCGTCCTAAAAGAAATCCCGGAAGGTGCGGTCGCATCAAGGGATAGGCGCGGCTGCGGGAAAAAGAGTACGGAACTGGGGCAAGAAGAGGTGCGCCTGCACCACCATATGGTGTGCCCGGACCATCCTGGTGCGCGGTCGCACTTGAAAGCAGGACACTTCCTCTCATTCTCCGTCCAAGCTCACCCTCGTGGGCTCGTCTTTATGATGATGATGAACACCAAGGAAGGCTGTCTTGAAGGGGCCATTTTGGTGGGTTCATGGCAAAGATGACGCCCCCACCGCATACCTGCACCGATCTCTTGACTCGCCCTTTGCGTTCCTTCACACTTGAAGCTCCGAAAGGCGAACATGAGGCATCCAAATTGATGAGAAATATGAGAGGAAGGCTCGAGAATCCTTGGAAACACGATCATAACCTAAAAACAAACGAAAAAAAACAAATAAAAAGGAAAAAGAACAAATAAACAAAGAATTGCACAAAACAAGGAAACTAACTATGGAAAGCACAAACTAACCAAATAAAGAACAAAATTAAGGAAAGCTAAGGAAAAGGGCTATAAAATAGTATGAAAATCATCCTAAAAGAGGTGAAATGAGTGCCATAAATGACACTCATCAAATTACCCCAAGCTAAACTTTTGCTCGTCCTCGAGCAAAACAAAGCAAGAAAGAATAAGGATGAAAGACTTATTCAAAAGAAAAAAAAAACCCAAAATGAGAATATACACTAAGACTCACTGTCGTAGGAATCACGGTTGCTTTTTGCTACAACAAGCCATTTTAAACCCCTAGATCGCCCTAGAGGACAAGTAACGCTCTCGTAAGGGTATCCTAAGAGTTTACCCATAACTCTCCCCCAACATCCAAGAGGAAAAACCATGAAAAGAAAAGAAAAAGGGAAAAAGGGAAAATAAAACCTTTGCAAAATGGACTTACAAAGAGACTACAATGCAAATGAATGTAAATCTTTCTCAAGTAGTCAAGGTACGCACGTTCCAAGATATCCAAGGTTGATTGAAACATAAGGTATCCTAAGCATAGGAACTAGACATCAAAATCCACGTTCATCCCAATCGATCTTACCGCGTTCTCCTCACTAGTCTCAAATCTCCCCTTAGCGAGCATCCCAATGATTCCTCGAAGGAACCGGAAAAAGAGATTTATTTAGGCTACTCGACATCTTGACTATGCATCCCCTTTCCTCAGGCAATAACTCATGATTCTCTCCCCCGAATAATGACTCAACTTCTAGGTCAAAAGGGCTTTTCCAAAGGTTGTAACATAAGGGCATAAAGGGTGAAGGTAGGCTAAAATTTTAAATTTGGTGGTTTTCCTAAAAGTGAAGCAAAAAACGGGCCCTTTCTTAGAATCACAATCAAGTAATCACCAATCCAAACAAAAATACGTACACCCCCAAGCTTATTCAAAGGTATACTCACAAGAATATGTACAAAAGGCGTAAATTCCTCTCCCCTAAGATTAAATGAATCATTATCCTCAATGCTTAGAAGGAGAAAAGAATACATCAAAATATTTTTGAAATTTTCACTTTTTCAATTTTTATTGTTTTTTTATATGCTTTGTCCTTGCCTTTTTCCAACTTAGGACGGCTTTTTAAATATTGCACTTATTTGTCCATGCCTTTTATAATGTAGGACGGCTTTTACTCATACTCATTTTCCATTATTCACAAAGAAGATATAATCATAAGCTTGCATCAAGGGAACCACATATCCCAACTATATCACCACAAACTTCTTCAAGAATGATCAATTGCTTCACAAAAACAAGAAAAGAAAGAAAATGAAACAAAAGGCCAAAGATCTAAAGATGTGGCTTGAATAGAAGGAAATAGGCTCAAATGGTTGCAAGAAGGCAAATGTAAACCCAAAAACAAATATTAAACAAACTATCCTAAAAGTGAAAAATACCACCCTGAAAAAGGTTCCTTTGTCCTCCCTAGATAGCTCGGTCTCGGGTATAAGAATCATAAATCAAGCTTTATAGATTAGGTTTGCAATAGTCAAGGGTCCACGCCGCTCATACAAAATAGGTTGAAGGCTTGAAAAACGATGAACCTCACATGGATGTAGCAAAAACTCACTAGTGGTGTCAAATCGACTATAGGGAGCAACTACCAAGCATGCCACAAACAAGTAGAATCCGGCTTCATGATCCTCCTAGTTCAAACCGACTATCCTAGCATACACCTATCATAGAGTCAACCAAACATAGTCTCAAACTGTGCATACCTTTACTACCTAGGAAGAAAGTCATGCAAAAGACAAAGTCAAATGTACAAAGTCCAACTCATAAGGAAAACAAAAATAGTGAAAAATAAGCCTCAAAATCAAACCACAAACCAAAACGAGGACAACGGAAAATAAAAGAAAAGAAAAATAAGAAAAACGAAAAAGAAAAGGAAAGTCATAGATAAAGGAAGAATAGGAGAAATGGAGAAAATAACTAGAAAGCAAGTTAAACACATATATCTCAATCGACATACAAGTGATCGAATGTCATTATCGTCATCGATCTCAAACACATTACGTGTTAACAAGCAATCAACCTTGAACCGTTCAACTTCCCCTAAACTAAACCTAATCTATGCATCCAAAGAAAAATAAAGAGGAAAATTAGAATGGTCTCACCGGGCTATCTATGCTTAGCATAATAAAGAAAGGCGATAGAATGAACCACCTTCGTTACATTCCAAGATCGTAAGCATCTTCATAGAGCCATGTGAGAACAAGAAAAGCAAAAGAAGCTATAAACAAAGAAAATGGTTAGTAACTTCAAAACCAAAAAGAGAAAAAAAAGGAAGCTACAAAGTAACACTAAGTAACCAACTAAACTAATAACTAATTAAAAGACACTAGACTACAAAATATGGATTCAAAGGGATTTGGATCCAAAGGTTTTGGATAAATGAAATTTGATGACCTATGGAAGAAGGTTGGTGCGGTTTTGAGGGAATGAGGGTGATGGGGGTAGAAGGTAGAAGGAGGAAATAAGGGGAAATGAAAGAAGAAAGAAGGAAGGAGAAGATAAGGGGGCATGGCAGTGGGTGCGGCCATTGGTGGGTACACAAATAATGATGATGATAAACACCAACATAGGCAGTAGAAAAACCCCTATTTAGTTAGTTTAAAATCCCAAAATAATAATAGCACCATATGAACCCACCGAAAACAAACTTCCTTCAACTTTTAAAGCTCAAAATTCCCTATCTTACCTCACTAAAAATCTTACCCTTTTACCACAAATTTTGATGATATCGAGTGTAATCACATCAAAAACCGCAAAACACCTTATCATTCCTCATGCTCACCTGATGAAGTCCAATCCCAAGATTCCAACCTATAAATCCAAACAAGTAGAAAAGTGAAAGAAAATAAAGTAAAAGAAGGGAAAATAGGAAAATTCAAAATCAAAAAGAAAAGTTAGAGATCTCCTGGTTGCCTCCCGGGAAGCTCTTGCTTATGGTCCTAAGCTCGACCCTTTCTCCAAATCATGGAGGGTCAAAGAAAACCTTCTTCAAAGTGGCGGAAAGAGCAAATTTCTCCTCAACTTCTAGCAACTTCTCGTTGTTGCTTGATGAGACATCATTCAATAACTCCTCAAAAGCAAGCTTCTCTTTCCATAATCTCATTCTCTTTCTCTTTTTCCTAGAAGCTCGTGCTCTTTTCTTTGCATTGTTCTTCTTTGTAAATGGTTTCACACCATCCCCACTCTTGGGGTCATCGTCCTCCTCTTGAGGGTAGAGCTCAAACCAATGAGGAATGTCAATTTCCTCCTCGTCCATAAGCTTGGGAAGCTTAGTTTTCTTTTCATTAACATTCTTGCAATCACAACTCAAAAGCACATCATCACAATTCTCAAGAACATCGTTATTTGAAGAATCAATCATGCATACATTATCAATGGGGTGAGGGGAATTAACACACATAATCCCTTTCATAAAAGACAAAGACTCATGCATTGGTTTTAGCTCAAAACTTTCCTCATTCTTACCAACTCTAAAGGTAATACGAAGTCCTTTCACATCTATTAAGGCTCCCGAGGTGGCTAAGAAAGGTCTTCCTAAGATGATAAGGATTTGATCATCTTCCGCAATCTCAAGCACAATGAAATCAACGGGAATGGTGAACTCTCCTATCTTGAGAGGAACATCCTCAACTCTCCCCTTTGGAAACTTAATAGACCGATCGGCCAATTGAAGGGTCATGTTGGATGGAAGGAGCTCACCTAGCTTAAGTTTCTTAAAAACGAAAGATCACAAAGAGCATTTTGGAACAATTTTCCTTTGATTTTGCAAGGTACGGAGAAATTTCCTGGATCTTTCAACTTTTGGGGTAAGTCATTATGAATAAAGGCACTACAACACTCCCCCAAATTCACCAGTTCCACCATATTGCAATCTCTCTTACCGCTCAAAATTTCATTAAGAAACTTAGCATAGTTTGACGACATTTGTTCTACCACATCGGTGAAAGGAAGAGTAAGATGAAGTTGCTTAAGCATCTCGATGAATTTCCCAAATTGCTCATCCAATTTATACCTATTGTGATTTTGGGGGTAAGGAAGTCTAGTTTTGTAAAGCTCATATTTATTCCGCTCTTTCTCCTTAGGCTTATCATTGGAATCCTCACTCATCTTCCTAGGCTCTTCATGCTTATTCCCTTCACTCGAATCATTCTCCTTTTCACTCTCCTTACTCTTCCTAGGAACACTCTCTTTAAGGACCTTATCACTCCTAGTGGTCATAGCACACATCGGTTCCCTAGAGTCAACTTCTTGTGAGGGTAAAGAAAGAGGACTAGCACAATCTATCAAAGGGATGGCTAGTTCATTGATTTGGTTCTCAAGCATCTTTCCATGAGTAAATATGACCTCAAACATTTTGTTACAAGACAATGTGAATTCATTCAACTTCTCGGATTGAGCCATCATGAAATTCTCTAGCTTATTCAATTGGGATTGTTGAGCATAGAAATCATCACCTTGGCTTTGAGTCGTTGGAGTAATTTGGGGTGGGGTACCTCTTTGAACATCATTTTGAAAATCTCCCCTAATTTGATTACTCCAATTACCCTTACCATGATTTTGGCCAGAATTTTGATTATGGTTACCATAACCTTGGTTATGATCCCCATATTCTTAGCCATGGCTTTGATCATTACAACAAAAGTTATTATGGTTACCACAAAATTCTTGGGTCACATGGTTACCATAACCACTATTTTGGTTATAATTATCATAGCTCCCATGATTGTGATAATTCCTATTCCTAACATTCTTTCGAGCATTAAATCTAGGTCCAAAATCATTATTATCAACACAATTCACATGCACATTCTCATATCCATCATATCTATCACAAGGAACATTGGGGCAATTAGAAACATTATAATCATTCTTTCCACATAAATCATAAACCAAGCATTCTCTTATCATGCAACAAGAAGAAAAAAGGGGGTTGCATTAGGAAGATGTAACTCTCTCATTAAATTAGGAGGGAAGACTAGAAGCATGTGAAGGACTCTCGAGCTTGGCCTTGAGAGAAATTACCTCCTTTACTAACTCCGAGACCAATGTGGACAAATTGTTGACGACATTAGATTGATCGATTGAGCCACTTGTGCTTGTCGATTCCCTCTCTACATCATGCCAATCCATGTAATTCATTACCACATCATCTATTACATCCACAACCTCTTCTTCCGTTTTGTTCATAATCGGCCCTCCGGCTCCGGCATCAAGGCTCGATCTACCTTGAGAACTCAAACCACCATAGAAAATTTGTATGACTTGATAGGTGGGAATTCCGTGGTGAGGGCATTCCCTTTGGTAATCCTTGTACCTCTCCCATGCTTCATAGAGATTCTCTCTTGGCAATTGCTTGAAACTTTGGATTAAGGCACTAGCCTCCGCCGTTTTCTTTGGTGGGTAGAAGCGAGACAAGAAAGATTTTGTGACTTCATCCCACGTCCTAAAGGACCTTGGCTTTACCTCCTTGTCCAACCACTCTAAAGCTCTTACAATAAGAGAGAAGGGAAACAACTTGAGTCTTATATATTCTTGAGCAACTCCGTCTACCATAATTGTATTACAATACTTCTCAAAATCCTTGAGATGGTTGAGAGGATTTTCACTTGTTGTACCACCATATTGTTTCCTCTCAATCAAGATGACCGTAGCCGGTTTTATTTCAAAATCACCATCCGGGATCAATAATGGAGCGATCCCGCTCTCATACTTGTAAGCGCCCGGCGTGCCCAACTCCTTGAACGTCACTCTATGAGCTTCTCCCATGTTCACTTGCAACAAATCTCAAACAAAATTATTAGTAGCACGGCTACAAGTGTAGCCCAAAGGAAAATCTTTTTGTGTTTTTGAATTAAGTGGAATAGACTCAACAACAATATACAATCACAACACCATTCCCCGGCAACGGCACCATTTTGACGCGGGTTGAGACTAGGTCGTTGAAACTAACCCCTACCCGAGGCCAAACAAAAATTTTAAACACTCAACACACCCCTACACAAGTATAATGGTAAGTTGAGGGTCGAAACCAAAGGAATGGTGGGCGATTATCTATTATCTATGTTTAAGCTATTCTGAATTGTAATGATTGGGTGTGAATGTTATGCTAGGACCAAGACGACTAATAAACAAGAAGAAATCAAATGTAATAAAAACTAGGGCTAGGATCCACATGTAATCATAACGGATTCAACTAATTGGGAGGTCAAATCAATCATGCAACCAAAAGAGCATATCAAGCTATTGTCCTAGAGGTCTAACTAGCGCCAACTACGATAAACTCTAGCTAGGAAACATCCCAAGACACCTGAATAATGTAAATGCAAGCCACAAATCAAGGGTCCGTATCAATGTGAACTTACAATGCAATCTAGTGCAACAATCAAAGTTAGCTACTCTTTAATTAATCACACACATGCACATGGTCATCAACAATTTAATCACATAGTCAACTCCATCAATTTTCCCCAATTAGCTTTAATCCATTACTCATACATGCTTCACCATTACCCTAGCAAGCTATCTACTCACTAGCCATCGAAATCAAGATCAAAACAACACTAAGCAAAAAATTCATCATGATCAAATCAAACAAGCTAAAATCAAACACAAACCAATCAAACATGAACATTCAACAAACAATTGAAATCAAACTAAAGATCAAACTAAAGATTGCATTAAAGAAAAGGAAATCTTAAAAACTTGATCAAAGATAAAAGGAAATGGAGAAAGCTTCAATCATCAACAATCCACTATGAAATTCTCTCTCTAAAAACCTAGAGTTTCTCTCTCTAAAAATCTCTCTAATTTGATCAAAAACTAATTCTAATTCTATTCTAATCCTTCTCTCTCTAAAAATAGAAGGAAAGACTATATATAAGAAAGATACAAAAGAAGAAGTAGTTAGATCGTCCCAAAAGAAACCCCGGAAGGTGCGGTCGCATCAAGGAAGAGGCGCGGCCGCGGGAAAAAGGGTACGGAACAGGGGCAATAAGAAAAACAACCGCACCTGAAAGCAGGGCACTTCCTCTCTTTCTTCGTCCAAGCTCATCCTCGTGGGCTCGTCTTTATGATGATGATGAACACCATGGAAGGCAGTCTTGAAAGGGCCATTTTGGTGGGTTCATGGCAAAGATGACGCCCGCACCGCATACGTGCACTGATCTCTTGACTCGCCCTTTGTATTCCTTCAAACTTGAAGCTCCGAAAGGCAAACATGAGGCATCCAAATGGATGAGAAATATGAGAGGAAGGATCGAGAATCCTTGGAAACACGATCATAACCTCAAAACAAACAAAAACAAACAAATAAAAGGGAAAAAGAACAAATAAACAAAGAAATGCACAAAACAAGGAAGCGAACTATGGAAAGCACAAGCTAACGAAATAAAGAACAAAACTAAGGAAAAGCTAAGGAAAAGGGCTATAAAATAGTATGAAAATCATCCTAAAAGAGGCCAAATGAGTGCCAAAAATGACACTCATCAGTTGTGTTCCTAGTTCTCCCTAGAACCCTTCCTATAAGGTGGCTAGGCTTGAATTTGGAACTGTTGTTTGGTGGGTTTTTGGCATGTTGTTTTTCAGGTCCAGTGGTGTTTTGGTGTTAGTTATAACTTAGCCTTTTTAAGTTGTAACTCTGTCTCTTTGGTAATAAAATCTCTATTTACCAAAAGAAAAAAAAATAAATAAATAAAAAATTCTAACAAGATTAGGATTGATAATTACATTTTTAAAAGATGTTTTATTTTGAATAAAATATATTTTTTTTTATCACAAATCTGATTTTAAATCTTCTTAGACATGGAATTACCTGTTAACCCGTTTAAAAGATGATTACGCGTACGAAAGCTCGTTGTACTTATGAATCAGCGCGAGACGAAAGAGTGGTCGCCTGGCATTGACAATTATCGCCTGGCGCTGCAGTTGTTGCCTAATGACGAGCTTGTCGTTTGGTGCTGAATCCTGTAGTTGGCGACATGAGGTATTTTATTCCAAATATGATTTCCTTTTATCCCATGCTATGTTTCTTATAAATAGGGGTCGTTTTATTCACAATCATCATTCACAGCCATCATCTCTCTTTCTCTCTCTAAAAGCTAGAAGCTTTCTCTCTCTCTCTATTCTTTTTAAAAACCTTCCCTCTAACAAAATTCCTCAGTCATTAGTCCTAGACACACATATCCAAGTTCAAAGTTGCCTTCGCCCTAGACGTGAAAGGTTTGATATTTCTGAGGGTTTAGTCCCAAATCTCTATCTCTATTATTTAATTTTATTGTTTATTTATTATTATCCATGAAGTTACTAACGTGTGTATTTTGCTATTAGAAAGAGGTAAGAGGCATCTTGTTTAGGTTAGTTTGATTATAATTCTAGTGATCGCCAATAGTAGTTTTTTTTGTGCATTAATATTCAACCAACATAGATTAAATAGGTTTAGGGTAAATCTATTGATGGTATGTTAGTCAAAAAGCACACATGAATACGAGAAGAATAAAGTAGAAACCTATTATTAGGGCAAGTTCAATCTCTTTTAGATTGGATTTGTACCTTCATCCTCGAACTTCTAGCTATGGTTAGTTCCAGACCTATTGAAGTTAACGATCTCCTAGATCGTTAAGGGGTGTAACCTTCACCCTGTGAACGGTTTACAAGTTTGTAAAACTTGTTGGCGACTCTTTTACTCTAGCTTCTTTCCCTTTGGACGCCACCATGCTTATGTGTATAAACACAGTGGGGCTCAAATGTGGGATGGCTTGAAATATTCCCTATAGTGCTTTAGCGACTCAACTGTGGAGGATTTCTATTTTAATTCCTAAACTTTATTTTGGCAATGATTTAGAAGAGTGGATGAGACTCGAAAAGTTCTAAGTATTTCATGTGCGTAATTTTTATTGACATAATTCGCATAAGCATAAAAAGTTTTGCATTGGAAAGACCATCCATAATGCGTAAAAAACATAGGATTTTTACACGTAGGAATCTAGGGAAATATCTTTCACAACTAAAGTCGAAATAACGCTATGAAAAAAACTGGAAAATGCAAGAACAAAAAGCTGCCGAGGCATGTAGGAATTAGCGCTGAGAAAACAGCGTTAGCGCCTAACGATTGCGCTTTCGCCTGGAGACAATATTTTCGTTTGGCACCAATTCCAGCGTCTGGTGACAGACACTATTTTCTCGCGCCGACTTCTTCCAATACCGAGCCAGAAATCTACCTTCTAGTTTTGACTTGTTTTCTAGTAATGTTTGCTCGATTTTACTTCCTGATTGAGTTTTTTCCTTTTTTTCTAAAACCCATGTGTTCTACATATGGCCATAACCCTCTAAGGATTCACGCTCCATCTACCTAATCGAAGGCTCCTGGAAATGAAGGGTACATCCGAGTCTGTTGAATTCACCAAACCATAGAAGCGAGCTTAACTCGCAGGGTCCCATCAACTCGCGCCAACGCTTCAAAAGATAAGGCTTCCGCACGGTGCATTTAGACTCATAACAATGGACCCTCTTTAACTAACCCATATACTGAACTTTAGAGAACTAGAGCCATGGTTACGTTGCAAACTCATTGCATCATATAGTGACTATATGACTACTTGTTCATTATTTGTTGTGCATATTTTATATATATGATTCCCTAACCGTTTGTTTGACTTGTGAATGATTTACATAAAGTAATTAATGACTAAAGGACTTTGTTAATTTAATTAATTAATTAATAAATGATTAAAGTCAAAATAAATTGATTGAACTTGACTTAGTAAGACTTTTAGGCTTGTTCCTTTTAAGAAAAGTACTACAAATAGTTCCAGATCAATGTTTTAATAATGGCGTAGAGATTTAGACTCTGGTGCCATGCGCTAGAGATTAGCGCCAGACGACGATCTTGTCGTCTGGCAGTGACCCTTAGTGTCTGGCGACACTTATGTCATCAGACAACAGCTTATATTTTTGTTCGAGTCTTCACGACGAGTCTAACTAATAATTTGCTAAAACAGTTAAATCGATTTATTAATGACAGTAATCATGTTCAGTCCTTTATTGAGTCTAGGCACATAGTCTCATGGTCTCACACAAGAGTCAAAGTATGTCACTCACATTCTCCATTAAAGCACACACATAATATGTCACATTTTGACCATGTCTAGAGAGTCTTATATGAGCGTATTTTCCGTCATTTTTTTAGGGGGGTAAGTAATACATTAATCCTCCAATTAAACCATACTTGTTTAAACCCTTCCTCAAAATACACCCTATTTTTTCTTTTTTGTTTATTAAAATCAATAAAGTCAAAGTCAAATTTGAGTCAAGTCATTAAAACAAATAAATGGTTTAATTTACAAGCTTGGTGAAGAAGGGAAGGGTGATTAATCAAAGACAATACATTAGTTCAAATACTCCTTTTTGACAAACCCATCACTCGGAAAAACCAAGAAGATCATGGCCTCTCAAGAAGAAGTTAATGAACTCAAGAAGGACGTGGCCAACCTAACTGAATTGATGAAGAGTATAGCTCTTCAAGTCAATGACCTTGTGAGGCAACAACAAATGGAGCTCATGCAAGAAAGCTTGAGCAAAATATCCAATGACTATAGATTCCAAGGCATTAGCTCACAAGGAGTCTTAGTGGACAAGGAACTTCTTCCGTAGAAGTTAAATACCAGTGACATTTCTATGTTCAAGGCAACATATAATCCTTACTTCCACTTAAGAGAGTTCGAGACAATAATGAATATTAATGGGATAGATAAGAAAATTTTTCATACACA